CGACACAGCGACGACGTGCTGGCCAGCAAAGGCCTCGACCTTCTTGGGCAGCAGCTGCTCCTGCGGATCGCCGTGGCCCAGCTTGCCATAGATTCCACCACCCCAGCTCCAGACAGCGCCATCGGCGGTGATGGCGATGCTGTGGAGGGTCCCAGCCGACACAGCGACGACGCGCCGCCCTGCCAACGCCTCGATCTTCTTGGGCAGCAGCTGGTTCTGCTGGTCGCCGTGGCCCAACCGGCCACCGTATCCATAGCCCCAGCTCCAGAGGACGCCGTCGCCAGTGAGGGCGATGCTGTGCGCGCCTGCAGCCGACACAGCGATGACGCGCCGGCCAGCAAAGGCCTCGATCTTCTTGGGCAGCAGCTGGCCCTGCTGGTCGCCGTGGCCCAGCTCGCCAAAGGCTCCATAGCCCCAGCTCCAGACAGCGCCGTTAGCGGTGAGGGCGAAGCTGTGGCTGTATCCAGCCGACACAGCTATGACGCGCTGGCCAGCCAAGGCCTCGATCTTACTCGGCAGCAGCTGGTTCTGCTGGTGGCCTTGGCCCAACCGGCCAAAGTATCCCCAGCCCCAGCTCCAGATAGCGCCATCGGCGGTGATAGCGAGGCTGTGGTCGCCTCCAGCCGCCACAGCGACGACGCGCTGGCCGGCAAAGGCCTCGATCTTCTTCGGCTGCCACTGGGTCTGCTCGTCGCCGTGGCCCAGCCGGCCGAATACTCCCTGGCCCCAGCTCCAGACACTGCCGTCGGCGGCGAGGGTGAGGTTGTGGCGATGTCCCGCCGACACACTCACGGCGCGCTCACCACCCAGCGAGGAAGAAGGGAGGCGGGTCGGCGTGTTGAGCCGCGTCACACCCTCGCCGTGCCCGAGCAGTCCCGGCGTGAAGCTCTCAGCCGTTCCGCACGACGAGAGCCGGCCCTCGCCGTCGATGAAGAGGCTGTGCCGATTGCCTGCCGCAGCCCTCGCCGGCGGGTTGGACTCGCGCAGCAGCGCCGAAAGGCACAGCCACCGCACGGCGCAGCTCTCGTATTCGGGCTGCGCCGGCAGCTCCAAGCCGCGCTCTTGCGCCCACAAGCGGATGCCCTCCAGCGCAAGCGAGGCGTGGAAGAGCAGCGAGACGGCCGCGATGCGAGCGATGTCGGCGGGGCTGTGGCAGTGAGAGAGGGCACGCACGAGGAGCTCCGTGGGGAGGTCAAGGAGGCGGGCGGGCGGCGGTGTGCCTGGCGAGGGCGCGTCGGAGGAGGCGGGGAGGCGGCGCGAGCGGCGCGAGCGGCGCGGCGGGGTGGACATCGCGAGGAAAAGAATTTGGTCGAAAGAAGAAAACGCAAAACAAAGAGAAGTGCGGAATCTCTTGGCCGCTTTGTGTATCTCGAGACCTCGAGAGAAGCCCGCCCGCCTCCAAGAAAGAAAGAAAACGGACAACCCAAGGGGGGGGGATGGGAGGACGGCACGCCGCCACCACACAGGGATTTTAAGGAGAGGGGTGTGGTGCGCTCGACGACATTTCGCCCGCCAAAAACTAATCAATGTCCACGGAGGCACTCGTCGGTCACGCATTGGCACGCACCGATGAGGTCGAGCGCCAGATTGCCGCGCAGGGTGCGTTGACGCAGCAGGCTGTGAGTGCCGCTACCGCCGAAGCCACACGCGTCGTCGGCCGCATTGATGCGCTTAATCACACAACCGAAGGGAAGCTTGCAGCTGCAGCTCAGAAGGTGCAGGTGCAGAAGGCACGGGTGCAAGAACTTGAGGAGCTGCACCGGACTGTGCCGGCTTTCAGAGCTCAGGTGGTGCAGCTTGAGACGTCGGGCCCCGCGCGAGCGCAAGCGCGGCGGCGACGCCTCCGCACCACCCGTGCCACCGCCCGGCCGAGCGAGGAGCAGGAAGACGAGCAGAGATATGGCCATACAGTACTTGGAGCACTTGGAGTGCAGTCATCAACCGCACATCCAGGGCCGGGGAGCTAAGAAGCGCACCCAGCGGGCCGGATGATGCGCAGTTTTTCTTCATTCTGACTCGTATTTCAGCCTGCCCATCCTCGCCAACCTGGCCCGGCGCGACCTGAACTCGCTGCGCGCCCTCCTCTCCGGGCGGCGGACGCGCGGCACGTCGCTCGCGGCCCAGCTCGACGCGCGGCACGACACCGACAGGCAGGACACGCTGCTCACCTTGGCCGCTCGTCACGGGCAGGCCGAGGCGGTGCGGCTGCTGCTCGAAGGCGGCGCGAGCATCGGGGCGACAAATGGCGGCGGCGCTTCCGCGCTGTACATCGCGTGCCAGGAGGGGCAGATTGAGTGCGCCCGGCTGCTCCTCGACGCTGGCGCGGCCGCCGACCAAGCGGATTCTGAAGGTGCCACGCCTCTCTACATCGCCTGCCAGGAGGGCCACGTCGAGTGTGTCCGGCTGCTCCTCGAGGCTAGCGCGGCGAGTAACCAAGCTGATGAAGAAGGCACCACGCCGCTGTACATTGCATGCGAGAAGGGCAACCTCGAGTGCGTGCGGCTGCTGCTCGAGGCTGGCGCGGCGGTCGACCAAGCCGATGATGAAGGCACCACGCCGCTGAGTGCCGCGAGCTTGACTGGCGAGATCAGCTGCGCCCGGCTGCTCCTCGAGGCTGGCGCGGCGGTCAACCAAGCAGACGCTGAAGGCCGCACGCCGATGCTTGTCGCGTGCCAGGAGGGGCAGAGCGATCGCTCGGCTGCTCCTCGAGGCCAGCGCGGCGACCGACCAAGCCAGTGACGACGGCGCCACGCCGCTGTACATCGCGTGCCAGAACGGCCACCTCGAGTGCGTCCGGCTGCTCCTCGAGGCTGGCGCGGCGATCAACCAGGCCGAGGGTGACGGAATCACGCCGCTGAGCGCTGCCTGCATTTACGGCCACGCTGAGTGCGCCCGGCTGCTCCTCCGCTCGAGCGCGGCGATCAACCAAGCGACGAACAGTGGCGCAACGCCACTGCTCATGACGTGCGCCGCGGGCCTCGTCGAGATCGTCCGGCTGCTCCTCGAGGCCGGCGCGGCGATCGACCAGACCAACAACAGCGGCGTCACGCCTCTGCTCGTCTCGTGCGTGTCTGGCCGGCTCGAGATCCTAGAAGCAGAACACGTATTCCTGCCTCCCAACTAGCGCCGGAGAGGAAGCGTATCCCGCTGTATTCACTGTATTCCTCTCCGTTGTATTCACGCGGTGCTCTGAACACACTGCACAATACCGTATTCGTGCCCTGAGGTCGGCGTGTTCAGCACGTAGGCTGGCGATCGTCAAGCTCCTCTCCTCGTACAGCGCTTCCCGCGGCACCGAGCGCATGGCCGAATCGATTGCAAACAGCGAAGGCCAAGCCGACATCGCCGCCTGGCTGCTCGCCAGCCGCGGCTGGACGCCGCTCGCGCACCTTGAGACCCTCACCGCCGCCCGCGCCACCTCCCTCCTGCGCAGCGGCGCAAGCTTGCACGAGGGCGAGCCGACGCCGCTGCAGCGCGCCGCGGGCGGCGAGGGCGAGGTGGCGGCGCTGGTTCGGCGGGCGGCGGCGCCGTGGTCGCCGGCAAGCCACTCGCTCTTCCCCGCGCCGGCCCGCGCGCGGGCGGCGCTCCTCATCCGCTCACTCTACGAGATCCACGAGCGGTACCACCTCGACTCGGCAGGAGCCACGAACGGCATCGCGGCGCTCGACTTTGGCCACTGCGTCTTGGGCTTCGCCATCGCGCGCGAGACGGAGTAGGTTTCGTGAGCGCGTGCGGTGCGTCGTGTCTCGTCAGGTGGCGTGGCAAGTGGCGTGGCGTTGTTGCATGCCTGTTGCATGCTCAAGCTTCGGCCTCAAGCTTCGGCCTTCGCGTCGGTGTTGTGCGAGGGAGTTTTGTTGTAAAAGTCGTTTTTAGAAAAATCTTTTTTGCGAGGGAGTCGTTCGTTGAATTCTTTTTGAAGAGAGAGTTCTCATTTTTGAATTCTTTTTGTGCGTCTGGTGATTTCTGTGTGCCCGTCGTGCGCATAAACGAGGAGTTCGCATGCGCGGCTGAACTCAACGCGGCACCCTCTCTCCATGGGTGGCGCGACTTCTAAGCCCGGCGCTGCCGAGGCGCGTGCTGCATGTGCAGCAAGCGACACTGTTCATCCGGCCGCACGAGCAATCGACAGCACCGCCCAAGAGGTCGTCTCAAAGCGAGCCGACCAGCTCAACCTCCCCGAGCGGCTGACCCTCGGCCTATCTGTCGACGCGATCGATGAGTACATCGCGGCTCTCCCAACCGACGCCGTCGAGCAGTGCAACGAGGACCGGCCGACCATCAACGGAGTCCGCGTCCCCGCCAACGCCTCCCTCAACGGCTACGTCAACCAGTGGCTCGCCGCGAGGTTTAGCGAGGCCAATGGAGGCAAGGCCTACTGCGAGACGCTATACGAGCGCGGCGACCGGAAGGTTGGCGTCGCCACCGTCTTTGTGAGCTGGTTCCTGGAGACGCCGCTCGCGACGCTGGTGGACGCCCTGCGGCAGTACCTGCGGCTCCACCCAGAGCTGCCGCCCGACACCAAGTTCTGGGTCTGCGACTTTGTGATCCGCCAGTCGACGCGGCGGCTCGACGTCACGATGAACGACGTCAAGCGGCTGGGCGACTGCGTGCGCGCCGTCGGCCACACGGTTCTGCTGATGGAGCCGTGGGACGACCCGGCGCCGCTGCGGCGCGCGTACTGCATCAAGGAGGTGTACCACACGCAGGCGTCGGGCGCTCGCTTCGAGGTGGTGATGAGCGCGGAGCAGCAGGCGGCGTTTGAGACGGCGCTGGTGGATGACTTTGCCTCGATCGCGAAGAAGCTGTCCGAGGTGGATGTGCGCAAGGCGGAGTGCCGCAACCCGAGAGACACGGAGCAGATCCTGGGCGAGCTGGAGCGGGAGGTTGGCCTGACCGAGTGCAACAAGGCTGTGTTTGGGCTGCTGCGGGGGGCGCTGGCGGGGCAGGGGAGGGCGGCGCTGGAGCGGATGGAGCCGGCGGAGAGGGCGCCGTCGACGCTGATCAACAACCTCAGTCGGTTGCTGCAGGAGCAGGGCGACCTGGACGGCGCGGAGGCGCTGTACCGCGAGGCGCTGGAGGCGAAGCGAGAGACGCTCGGCGACCGGCACCCGAGCACGCTCACCACAATCAGCAACCTGAGCTCGCTGCTGAGCGCCAAGGGCAATCTGGACGGTGCAGAGGCGCTGTGTCGCGAGGCGTTGGAGGGACAGCGTTGGAGGGACGGCGACCGGCACCCACTCACGCTCCGCTCGATCAACAACCTCGGCATGCTGCTGAAGGCTAAGGGCGACCTGGACGGCGCGGAGGCCCTGCTCCGCGAGGCGCTGGAGGGGTTTCGAGAGACGCTCGGCGACCGGCACCCGCACACGCTTCATATCGACCTCTCGTCTCTTATTAATCTCCCTCCCCCTTTCCGCTGCCGCTTTTCTGATTGCCCCCCGGACAACCTTTCGCTTCATCACCTTCTGCTTAGTTCTCGGGCAGGTCACCTCTTCTTCTCCCTCGACATACAGCGGCGTTAATTCTTTTTTCAATGGCCGCGGCGAGGCAGGCTGGGGCGGAGCTGCAGGCGCAGGCCGAGGCGGCGTGGCAGGCTGGCGGGCAGGCGGAGGCGGAGGCGAGTGGCGGCGAGGCGCTCGGCGTCGGCGCGAGTATCCTCATCTACGTCGAGAGCCGCGCGTGCTGGTGCGAGGCGACTGTGGACTCAGCGCTTCGAGCGCGGGACACCGCACACCGGCTCGAGATCCGGCAGCGCGGTGCAGCACAGAGCCTGCGGCGGTGGCTGAACCTCTCCGAGCAGCGCTGGCTGCCGGCATCGGCGGTCCCGGCTGCCGTCGCTGCCGCGACCGCCGCCGCCGCCGCCGCCGCCGAAGCCGCAGCCGCCGCGGCTGCGCAGCAGGCTCCAGCTGGTGAGAGCGGCGGGTCTAACCGGCGGCGACAGCCAGCGCGACAGGCCGCGACCGCGGCCACGGCTGCCGCCAGATCCCAGAGCCGGCGCGACGTTCCAGGCCAAGCTTCAGCCCGCGGGGCTGGGCGCGGGGGGCGCGCAGCCGCCGAGCGCGCCGCTGCCGCAGCGCTCGATGTCGGGGCCAGGCGAGGACGCGGCCGGGGCCGGGGAAAGGGCGGGGGAAAGGGCGGGGTGGCGGTGGGCGGCGGCGGCGATCCCAGCGCGGCGAGCGGCGGCGAGTCAGAGTCGTCAGAGCGGGCCGAGGCCGAAGCCGAGGAAGGAGGAGGAGGAGGGGGGCCGAGAGCGGCGAGAGCGGCGAGAGCGGCGAGAGCGAGAGCGAGCAGGCCGAGAAAGGTCGGCCGAGGAGGCGGAGTCGGCCGAGGAGGCCTCGGAGGCGTCGGAATCGTCTGATCCTGCGACGGACGGGGAGGGGGGGCAGCCTGCGGGGAGCAAGCGCAAGCGAGGAGGGCGAGGCGACGGGTCGGGGCGCGGGCGCGGGCGCGGGCGCGGGCGCGGGCGCGGGCGCGGGCGGACAGGGAGAGGGAGGGGGAGGGGGAGGGGGCGGGAGGGGGACGGGGGAGAGGGCGAGGGAGAGGGCGAGGGCGAGGGCGGCCATTGCTTCGGCGATGACGACTGCTTCGGCCACGACGACGTCGAGGACCCTGCCGAGGCGCCTCCGCCAAAGCCAATGGCCGAGATGACTGTGCGCGAGCTCATCTACGAGCGGAAGCAGGGCGTGCCGACTGAGGCGGCGAGGGAGCGCGCCGAGCGGCGGAAGCAAGGCTTGCCCCTCGACGCGCCGCTTGGTCAACGGCCGCAGTCTGGCGGCGGCGCAGCGGGCGGCGGCGGCGGCGAGGGGCGTGGCGGGGAGCGAGGCGGCGGCGGCGGCGGCGGCGGCGGCGACGACGACGACGACGGGCCGCCGCTCACGTTGTGGGAGGAGGAGCGGATGCGGCGCGAGGACGAGGAGGAGGCGCTCCATGGCCCACGGTTGGCGGGCGACGGCGACGAGGGGGGCGCGGAGGGCGCGTTTGCACCGCAGCTGCGGTTCGACGAGGATGGCAACATGGTGGTGGACGAGTCGTCGCTGTCGGTGACGGCGGGGCGCGCGACGCGGCTGCAGCACACGGGGCAGGTGGAGGACGCCGAGCGCCTCGGCGTCACCTCCTCCTCCTACCTCAGCCGCGCGCCGTCGACGTCCTGGTCCGCGGCCGACACGGCCGCCTTCTACGAGGCGCTGCGCGGCCGGCGGCACAGCGGTGAACCATGGTGAGCTGTTGAGCGTGGAGTGGGCAGAGACTAGGCGCTGCGCGTGCACGGCACCGACTTCACGCTCATCGCGTCGCTCTTTCCGCACCGCGAGCGGCGGCAAATCAAGAACAAGTTCAAGCGCGAGGCGTCGATCTCCCTACACCTCCCCATATCTCCCCATATCTCCCCATATCTCCCCATATCTCCCCATATCTCCCCATACCCGCCCCATATCTCGCTTCCGTCGAGTTGGACGAGGCGTCGATTTGCGCGGCCCGAGCGCGACCAGCCCGAGGTGATTACCCGAGATTGTCCGAGATGATCCGAGATCATCCGAGAGTGTCCGCAGGAGCGCGACCAGCCCGAGGCGATCGAGGCGCTGCTCGCCACGCCGGGCGCAGTCACGCACGAGCAGCTGCAGGCGATGCTCGCGCCGAAGGCGCCGCCGCCGCTGCCGCCCCCTCGTGCAGCCCGAGGGCGCGCCGCCGGAAGGGGAGCAAGAGGGCGCGGCAGGGCGGCGGCCGCCGCACTCCCGCCCCCTGGATCGCCTCGCACTATCGCCCTCGCACCCGCCGCCGCGCCACCGGCCGCCGCCGCGCCCGCCGCCGCCGCGCCCGCCGCCGCCGCGCCCGCCGCCGCCGCGCCCGCCGGCGCCGCGCCCGCCGCATCCAGAGTATCGTCGGCAGCCGCAGCCGCCGACTGAGGCGGCAGCGCCTGCTAGGCCTCGAGCACAGGCGCGGATCCCGCCGGGACCAAGGGCGCCCGCTCCCCGCCGCGCTAGCCCGCCGCCTGCTGTGGCGGCGGCCAGCTCTCGGTGGCGGCGGCAGCGCCCGCGCCGGCGGCAGCGCCGGCGGCTGCGGCAGCGCCCGCCCCCGCGCCGGCTGCCGCCCGCGCGCCCGCGCCCGCGCCCGCGCGGCGTCCGATGCTGCTCTCTGCGGGCCTGTTGCGGCGGCCGACGGCAGAGGCGGAGGAGGAGGCGGAGGAGGAGGTGCAGCCGCCAGAGGCGCGAGGGGAGCAGCCCGGGGGCAGGCGGCCACACACGCCTCGCTCCCCACCGCCCGCCATGCGCCACGCAGGCGCTGCGGCCAGAGCCGGACGAGTGGGAGTACGGCGGGGGAGACGCAGACGACGGCTTCGACGAGGGCGGGGACTACTGACCGCTGCACCGGGGCCCGGACAGAGACTCTCCAGGGACCTAGCTCCTCTCCGGCCCTGGCTCGCCCCGACTCCTGCACACGGCCAGCTTGTTGGGCAAGGCGCGTGTGTGGGCGGCCCCCGACTCTTATAGGTCCTGTACGGCCTTTATGTACCCATGTTTGTTGTTTCACCGCGCGGAAAACGACCAGATTTCCAGAGATAGCGGGTTGTTTGCTGCTCCATACTGGCAACTCTCGAGACATAACTCATAAGCACCACGCCTTAGACTGAACGCCTCCGCCGCCTCCTCTTTGTGTGTGTGTGTGGGGGGGGTCCCGTGTTATATCGGCCTCGTCACGATTTCGGTCTCGTCTCGTCGATTTTGAGCCCCTTCCGCCCCTACCCCCCGCGGCCTCCCCTCAACTCCATGTGCGGAAACTTTGGCCTCCTGCTCCTCCTCCCCGCGCATCGCCGCGCGACGCTTCGCCTGCTGCGCAAGATGCTACGCATCACCATGATACGCGGGGCGCAGTCGGCTGGGATAGCGACGTACGATCGCTCCGGCGTGGGCTTGCGCTGCAGAGTCGTGATGGCAAGCGGACTGACCTCGAGGACGTGCTGTTCAAAGATTTTCGCTGTGCTACGCCGACATGACCTGCGGTCTGTTTCAGGGCCACACCCGCTTCGCAACGTCTTCCGTCTGCAACATCGCTGGCTGCCACCCGCATCAGTGGCTACCGCGATCAAAGCAGATGGCGTGGAGGCTCGCAACAAACACAGCATACCGCTTTGTTTGCGAGCGCCGCAGCGTCGAGAGCTTCATCACGCACAACGGCGACTGCGACGCCTTCACCATCCACGGCAACAAGTACCTTTATGCCATCGCGGACCTGCAGCTCCTCCTCGTCCGCCTTCTGGGCCACCCGATTCCGAGCGACGTCGACTCTGCGTGCGTGGCAGGCCTACTAGACATGCTACGAACCAAGGGCGTCTGGCTGGCCTCTGTGCGCTATGGCTACCTTTTCGGCGCCCTTTCGACCGCCGGCTCCCTGCACGGCCGCAGCCATGAGCTCGCGAGCGCCGCACAGCTCGAACAGCTCGCCGATGCCTTCGCAGTGGCAAGCGCAGTGCACGCGCGCCTCCAGCAGCGCGGCAGACGCCGCCTCCGCCGAATGCGTCCTCCTCGAGGCGGTTGGCAAGAGAATGGTGGAGCGCATGCAGGAGCGCTTCGCAAGTGCCCCGCTAGCCGGCATGCTGCCGCTGCTGCAGGCTGAGCTGTCACCTGGCAGCGGGCGGCAGCACACGGGCGAGGCGCAGCGGCAGCAAGCCGCGGCTGTTCGGCTCATCGAGTGTGCCGTCTCCGCCTTTCTCTTTAGTGACCTGCTGCGTGCTGCGCTCGAGCTGCTGCACAACGCCGATGGCTCATCGGCGTTTTTCTTTTTTCGTCGTCCTTCTCGAATACGAGTAACACCGAACCACCCCAACTCTCGCACGGAGACTTGGTCGGGCAGACTGTGTACATGACGCGAGGCAACCAGCGCGACATCGACCGAGCCCGCGCGGCGGCGAGAGCAAAGGCGCACGCCGGCGGCTCGTCCACGCTCAAGGACGCAGAGGACCACGCCAACAAATTGCGAGCGAAGCAGGCTGCAGCCGAGGAGAGGCGAGAGGCCGAGCGGGCGGCTGCAGCTGGGGACCAGCCCGCGACTGGGCAGTCACGCCGAGCCGGCGGGGAGGCGGCCGATGCGGATAAACGCGAGGCGCTGCGCGTCGCGCGCGAGGCGGCCGAGGCGGATCTCATCAGAGAGCAGGAGGAGGCGCGCGCGCGCTCGGGTGCCGCTGCAGCTCCCGCTACAGCTCGTGTGCTCACGCTCCCGCCAGCGAGCAAGGCGGCGCCGCCGCGGCCTCAGGCGGGCAGCGGCGCGGCGGCTCTGGCCGCGGCCACCAACGGGCACGCCCTGTGCGCCCAACGCGCCGAGAGCGGCGGCAGCCACAGCGGAGCTGAGGGCGACTCAAGCGAGCAGAGAGACCCCGCGGGAGATCAGAGCGATCTGCTCGAGGCGGCCTCTGCGGACTGGCTGCTCGAGCAGCTGGCGGACGTGGCGGACGGCGACCGCGCCGTCCTTGAGGCTGCCGTCTCTCCAAGGCAGATGCCGCTCCTGACGGCGAGTGATGCTAGATGCGGAGAGGCGAGGGAGGAGGAGGGGGAGGAGGAGGAGGAGGAGGAGGAGGAGGAGGAGGAGGAGGAGGAGGAGGGTTGGGGGAGGTAGTAGTAGTAGTAGTCACTCTAAGTACTACTACTACTGCTGCTACTGCGAGCGAAGCGCACGCTGATGCGGGGTGCCCGGTCCGTGCTCAGGACCAACGCTAGGCAGGACGGCGATACGGGGAGATACGGGGAGATACGGGGAGATACGGGGAGATACGGGGAGATACGGGGAGATACCACTCGCCGTGTCCTCAGCCCCCTGCGCGCACCAGCCGGCGCCACGCCGCCGCTGCCTCGGAGCCGTCCAGGAGCCGTCTCGGAGCGAGATTGAGCGAGATTGAGCGAGATTGGCTACCCATCGATTGGCGACCTCATCGATGAGGTCTCTCCCCCACAGGCGCACCAGTCGGCGCCGCTGCGCTTCTTGCGGGAGCACTCGGGCGCACAGCTCACCCTGCACAAGCACCCGTCGGGAGACGGCACCCTGGTCGCCACGGGGACGGCGCCGGCCCCTAGAAGCGGAGCATCTCCCCAGATCTCCCCAATCTGCCCGTATCTAGCTGGGCCTGGGCAAGAAGCGGAGCATCTCCCCAGATCTCCCCAATCTGCCCGTATCTAGCTGGGCCTGGGCAAGAAGCGGAGCATCTCCCCAGATCTCCCCAATCTGCCCGTCTCTAGCTGGGCCTGGGCAAGAAGCGGAGCATCTCCCCAGATCTCCCCAATCTGCCCGTATCTAGCTGCGCCTGGGCACGGCCTCGGCCCCTGGAGGCGGAAGACTCTCTCCCCGTATCCAGCTGGCACTCGGCATGGGAGCCGGAGCCTCGAGGCGGAAGGCGTGTCGCTGTCTTCCAACCAGGGTTCGAGGCGGCGGGGGGGGGGTAGGGTAGGGGGTGCAGGGTGGAGACCCCACACACACCCCCTGCCCCCCTACCCCTCCATTTGGGCGTGTGACGGACGTCCCTCGTGGTGTAGCTGACCGCCCCACGG